TTGGCTCTGGCCCCTACACCCCTTCTACCTGTAGCTCCTCAGGGAGGCACAGAGGAGCTGGCCTCTGACCCCACCCACGGAGCTCAACAAGGCAGGCGCCCAGAGAGGGGGAACAGACCACCCACCTTGTTGTCAGTGGGCAAGTAGGAGAGGGCGTCCTTGTACGCCCGCACAGCCTGGGCGTACTCCTTCTCTGCAAGGTGCTGCTCCCCAAACTGGGTGCAGATGGAGGCTGCCAGCTGCTTCTGGGAGGGGAGCATTTCTGGTTGCTCCAGGGGAACCCGCTTCAGTATCCGAGACTGGAGGTCCAAGGCCTTGGGAAACCATAAGAGTCTGACACGCCAGATCTCAGGCCGGCCCACAGAAAGTCTCCACGCTCTGACTGCAGAACCAGCAGAGTCAGAAAGGGCATCTCAAGTGCCCCGGACAAATCTGGGTCACTCTGGACCAGGCCACCGCAGAGTGCACAGGGAGGCGGGCTGGCACTGCCTTGGGGGCAGAGCAGAAGCAAAGGCAAGTAAACAAAGCCCTCTATTGTGCTTTATCTGCTGGCCCGCTGCTTGTCCCTCAGGGACAGTGCCCAGTTTGCTCTGGCTGCCCTACCGGCTAGAATAGGCACACAGTAGGTGCTCAGCGCAGGTTGTATTTTAGGGATGCATTTGTTCTGAGTATGTGGCCCTGTTGGGAATTTGAGGCAGCCCCCACAAATATCCACGACCCCAAATGACTAAGTGTGTAAGCGGAGAACCTCGGGGCAAGAGGAAATCATGACGCCAGGCTGAGTTACCAGGAGGAGGCCAAAATCAGCACTCAGCTCCCCCAGGGCCAAAAAAAAAAAAAAAAAAAATCCAAACCCACTGCCGTCAAATCGATTCCGACCCATAGCGACCCTATAGGACAGAGTAGAACTGTCCCATAGGGTTTCCAAAGAGTGCCTGGTGGATTCGAACCGCCAACCTTTTTGGTTAGCAGGCGTAGCTCTTAACCACTACGCCACCAGGGCTTCCAAAGGGCCAAAAGCCGGGTGGGAATCCCGCACGCCCACCCTTGGATGGAGAGTGAGGAGGATCGTGCAGAAGTGGCCAGGGGCTCTCCCTCGACACCCTGAGAGCGCACCCAGGAACAAGTGCCAGGCCGCACCCTTGGATGGACAGCGAGGAGGATGGTGCAGAAGTGTCCAGGGGTTCTCCCTCGACACCCTAAGAGCGCACCCAGGAACAAGTGCCAAGCCACAGCCTTGGATGGAGAGCGAGGAGGATCATGCAGAAGTGGCCAGGGGCTCTCCGATCGGGGTGCCCAGTGTGGACAGAGCATGGGTTGGGATCGGGCAGAGCCGGTTCACATCCTAGCTACAACCACTTTGGGCACGCTTCTCAAGCTCTTTGAACCCAATAGTCTCATCTCTGAAATGGGAATGTCACAGTGCCTACTTTAAAGTATTATCATGAGAATTACGCAAGAAATCGAGTGCCTAGTACAGAGCCTGGCCCAGGGTATTCAGTGCACGGGAGAGACTGTGATGGCCGTTGTTACCACCTCCATCATCCGTTGGGCAAAGGCCCCATCTTACTCCCTCCTCGCTCCCCAGCCCAGCCCAGGGCACTTTGCCGCACCCTCCATGGACTGAGCAGGTGGGAGACTGAATGGGAAGCTATAGGTCAGAGAAGCACCCCAGGTGCTCTTTCCAGGACAAGGCCTGGGGCCTTCCACACCTCTCCTTCCTTCTTCAACCCCCATCAGGACCCGGCAGGTAAGGAGCTTGAGTCTCCCGTCAAGTACCTTATTCAAAGTTTCCATCACATCCTCTTTTTTATGACTCTTGTAAACCTTCGCCAGCAGAAGCAGGCACTTGACATCATTCATCATGGATGGGATGTCTCTGACTGCCCAATGGAAACTCAAGTTAGAGTTCTCTGTCTCCGGGGAGGCTGGGGGGTGGGAGGGGGCAGGGCCCAGCGCCCCAGCTAATGCACCATTCCGCACAAGGACAGAGAGCGGGAGGTCTGCCTGCTCCCGACACCGAGAGTGAGTTACAGCGCGGCTTACCGAAGTCATGCTCCAGGGCCTGCTTCAGAACTTTTTCTGCTTTGGTGAACTTCTTTAACTTCAGAAGCAGTTCAGCCAGATCGCAGCACAGAAAGTCCTGCCCGCTGATCTTCTGGGCGGCCTCGTAATAATTAATTGCCTTGGTGCAAACAGGAAGGACTGGCATCAGGTCTGGCGCCCAGTGAACCATGCGCGCTATGCCTGAGCACCCAACACCAGGTCGCCCGCAGCGGCCTCAGCACCTGTGTGCCCCTCTGGAACACAGAAGTCTAAGATGAAAGGGGCTCCCAGCTGGCCCAGCAATTCCTCTGCTGGAGCAGGGTGGGGAGCTGCTGAGTTCTTCCCTTGGTGTGCCATTCAGCAGGGAGCTGGGGTGGGGGCTGAGCAGGTACTCTCCTCCCATCCAGACCCTCCTACTCACGCAGCCTCCCTCCGTCCTCTCCCCGCAAGCCCAGCCTGACCTTGTTGTACTGGTGGGTCTTCACATAAGCTTGTCCAATCCTGCTGACCAGGGAAGCGTCGTGTGGGTTCCTTCTATATGCCTCGTCATAGACCTCCAGGGCCTTCTCAGGCTGGTGGGGAAAGTGTCTGGGGGTCTCTCTCTTCTCTTTCACTGGAGAAGTGAGATGGGGGGCCACATGGCAAGGCCGTGAGACCCTTCACTCACCTCCTGGATGTTCATGAAAGCATCACCTAGTAGCAGACTGGTGTGGGGGCCGGGCAGGTTTTCACAGAGCTCGCTGCAAAGGTGGCCAAAAGCTTGTCTTAGGTCTTGTGCCTCCTTCATCCTCCCTGAATCCATCTCCTCCTCCTCTTTCCCACTGACTCTGGCTGTCCTTCATCCATCCACCCACATCATCCACCTACCCATCCACTCATCATCCATCCATCCATCATCCGTCATTCTCCTATCCATTCATCCATCCATCCATCTGCCTGCCCACCCACCCGTCCGTCCATCCATCCATCCATCCACCCACCCATCCATCTACCTATCCAACCACCCAGTTACCCATCCATCCATCCATCCATCCATCCACCCATCATCCATCATTCTCCTGTCCATTCATTCGCCTGTCCATCCGTCTGTCCACCCACCCACCTATCCACCCATCCATCCACCTATCAACCCACCCACTTACCCATCCGTCCGTCC